TACTCACCTCAGTGGCCCTAAAGGGATTCGAACTGATGACCATTGGGGAGCAAATCCAAAGTCTGATCAATTGAGCAACCCCTCAAGATTGTCCTGTACTTCAATGAGCCATCGCATTAATGTGCTATCACTTAGCGAAATCCTATAAGTAATCTCAGTTCGCTGCTATGTGATGCTTTCCTAATCAAAATATAGGAAAGGAACCCTTTACTCTGAGTGCATCCACAAAAGAGTGCGACTTGACACATAAAATTTCTCTCATTTTCGTTGAAAGATAGAGCTTAACTTTTCTTTTTCAGTTTTTCTGTCAAGCTTCCTGTCCCAAAGGATATGTAGAAGTAAAATTTACTAGTTTTGCTGCTAGTTGAGATACACAAGTTTCGAAATGAAACTCCAATCCCTAAATGCTAAATGAGTTTAGAGCATCTTCAAAAGACTCTATTTTTAAAGAGCAGATTCTATTATTTGAAGAGCATTTATAAATTTAGAGAGTTAAAATTTTAAAATAATCCAATAAACTCTTTATATTTAACACTTAATTTTACTACTCCTAAAATATCTTACTATTTATCTTTTGTTTTAACTAGCTTTTCTTTAGATTATTTTATCATTTTTCTACGTTGAAAATTGAAACACTTTGAATGTATTTAATTATAGAGAGAGAATTTCTAAATTAAAATGTTAATTTAAAAAGTCTTTTAGAACTTGATTTTAAATGTCGACTACTTGACTCTTTAAAATAAAGAGAATATCATGTTTAAAGATTCTCTTAGAGATGCTCTTAATGATTACACTCATTATTTTTAAACAAATCATCAACATGGTATAATTTATGTTGCAAACACAATTTTTCCTGTTCAATGAATAAAAAGTAACAACTCGTCTCAAAAACTCATTCATCCCAAAAACTAGGACTAAGCATTCTATAATATCCCTCCACGCTCTGAAAAAACGACGTTTCCATCCCCCTTTTTCGCATGTGACAATGCAACGGAGTCATAAAGACTAGTGGAAATTCAATCACTTATACTTGGATGAAAATACATAATATTGAGTGCTGTTGTTGGAACTTCATGATCGCCATCAGAAAACCAACTCTTGATCGTGCCCCGATATGGGCCAGTTGGAGTTTGCTCGGGCCATCTGTCGACCAGCATAAAACCAAACTGAGATGCAGCGGAAAGTATTGACGGCTCATCAACTCTGCGGAAAACATGGCATAGAATCAGAGCTGGCTCTCTGTCCTTCACAACTCTGCTGGATGAAATCAGTTCTCTAGCCGTTGCAAACAAGGGTATAATTGCTTCAGCTACGTAAGTTACATCCGTACCAAGAANCAGTTCGCTGCTATGTGATGCTTTCCTAATCAAAATATAGGAAAGGAACCCTTTACTCTTGAGTGCATCCACAAAAGAGTGCGACTTGACACATAAAATTTCTCTCACTTTCGTTGAAAGATAGAGCTTAACTTTTCATTTTCAGTTTTTCTGTCAAGCTTCCTGTCCCAAAGGATATGTACGAAGTAAAGTTTACTAGTTTTGCTGCTAGTTGAGATACACAAGTTTCGAAATGAAACTCCAATCCCTAAATGCTAAATGAACTTAGAGCATCTTCAAGAGATTCTATTTTTAAAGAGCATCTATAAATTTAGAGAGTTTAAATTTTAAAATAATCCAACAAATTCTTTATATTTAACACTTAATTTTACTACTCCTAAAAAATCTTACTATTTATCTTTTGTTTTAACTAGCTATTCTTTAGATTATTTTATCATTTTTCTACGTTAAAAATTGAAACACTTTGAATGTATTTAATTATAGAGAGATACTTTCTAAATTAAAATGTTAATTTAAAAAGTCTTTTAGAACATGATTTTAAATATTGACTCTTTGAAATAAAAAGAATATCATGTTTAAAGAGTATCTTAGAGATACTCTTAGTGATTACACCCATTATTTTTAAACAAATCATCACATGGTATAATTTGTTGCAAAGACAATTTTTCCTGTTCAATGAATAAAAAGTGACAACTAGTCTCAAACTCAATTCATCCCAAAAACTAGAGCATTCTATAATATCCCTCCATGCTCTGAAAAAACGACGTTTCCATCCCCCTTTTTCGCATGTGACAATGCAACGGAGTCATAAAGACTAGTGGAAATTCAATCACTTAATACTTGAATGAAAATACATAATATTGAGTGCTGTTGTTGGAACTTCATGATCGCCATCAGAAAACCAACTCTTGATCGTGCCCTGATATGGGCCAGTTGGAGTTTGCTCGGGCCATCTGTCGACCAGCATAAAACCAAACTGAAATGCTGCGGAAAGTATTGACGGCTCATCAACTCTGCGGAAAACATGGCATAGAATCAGAGCTGGCTCTCTGTCCTTCACAACTCTGCTGGATGAAATCAGTTCTCTAGCCGTTGCAAACAAGGGTATAATTGCTTCAGCAACGTAAGTTACATCCGTACCAAGAANNNACGTAAGTTACATCCGTACCAAGAATAACCTCAAAACCTTTCTCATTAAGTTGCTTGACATAATCTATATCATTTTTGTTTCCCCATTCTAGTTTTTTCGTAATTAATCTTTCAAGAGATGGTGATTTGAGATTCAAAGCAATGTTTTCCATCAACAGGTCAAGTGCTTTAGTGTCTCCATCGGTGGCAACCACAAGGTCAGCAGATCGTGCGGCAACCATTGAACAGATTCCCCCACAGCCACATCCAATTTCTAAAACCCTTTTCCCGGAAACAATGGTAGGATTTGAAGCAAGAACAGAAGCCATTAACCTAGCTGATTCCCAGATCATCAAACCAGTTGATTTGCAGGTATGTTGGTACTCTTTGGAAAGCACTTTAATCTTGAAGTTATCATCTCTTATAATGATGTCAACAATCTAAGACGTGCAAGATAGTAGATCAAGTCAAGGATGGCAGAAGAAAAGAAAAGAACTTAGTAGCGTCTTTTCACTTCTAGTTGCTGAACTTTATATTGTTCCAAATTAGTCACTGAACTTTCACCTTTGTTTCAGAAACTCCATCAGCCTCTTTCTTTCAATACTCAAAAGTAATAGAATTGTTGACTTGTATGATGAAATGGTGATGTGGCTTAGAAAGTTATTAACAGATCAATTTTGTCATCAATATTGCAAAAGATCACTTGTTCTTCTGAACGTTGTGCTCTGTAAAAGCTTTAGGTTTTCAGAAGGATAAGCATGTTTGTTAATTTAGATGATAATCAATACATTAATGGACTATTTAAGCCACATCATCATTTCCATCATACAAGTCAGCAATTCATTTTCAAAAATAACACAAAGGTAAACAAGGAGTGCCTAAACTATAACAACAATGGAAGTTCAGTGAATAGTCTGAAACAAAAGCCAAGCGTTCGGTTAATAAAGTGAAACAACATAAGTTTGGTGTGACAAATATGGTTATTATGCACATCATATTCGTAGGAATCATACTGCATAACTAAGAAGCAAGGATATTTTTACCTCCTGGCTGGAAGACGAAATACCAAAAATATCGACACCCATTCCCTCTGATAAATCAATTTCGGACATATCTGTAGCATCTTTCCAAGTAATGTCCTTGACCTTGGGTTTAGAACAATCCTCCTCCAGGTGATTTATTTGCTTTCCAGTTCTTTCACTAGACATACAGTTATCACCGGCTGCCTTAAATACCGCTTAAACCCAACGCCTACAATCCAGCGGGAATAGTTAAGACACAAGCGGGAATCAAATACAACTGTCCTCTATGAAATGAGGCCAGGACGAAATATAAACACAACCATAATTTGTCAAATGCATGAAACTATGAAGAATTTATATTCTATAATTACATTTTGACAGAATCCTCCCATTATGCACAAGTGTGTGATATAATATTCAGAGAATCTGCTAAAAAAAAGTGAAAAATGTCCTTATTTACCGATTCATCACTATTTCCCTTGATCGGTTTTCCACTTGCTTGCAACACAAGACATGTTCTTCCATACTGAATCCGTTTTCTTTGAACAAATTCCTTAAGAACTCATCGGAGAAGTAGAAAGCTCGCTGGCAACAGAAGTAAGATGCTATAAAAGCTGGCTAATGGCTTCCAAACCTTATATGAAACATTAATTTGAACGAGGAAAGAAAAAAGGAAAAAAGAAAATAACTTACAGTGCCATCACCTCTAACATAGAAGTTTTCACAGATCTTCTGTTCCTTGCCTGAGAACCTTTCCTGTGATACGACATTAGGACATAAGGGTAAGCAGCATTGCAAAAAACACATTGTTGTTATTGAGTAAAACAATTGATCTTACTGAAGAATTAATATTACTTCCCTTATTGTCTAGCCTTTGCAGGGTGAGACGGTGACAGTGAGAAACAAAAAAGTTGCAGTGTGATTATCATTTATTATTAAGAACATGTTTGTCTAAGCTTAAAAGCAAGTTAAAATTACGTTTAAGTTTTTTTTCCCAAACATTGTTTGGATAAGTAAAAGCTCCAACACTGGAGCTTTGACATTGCATGAAACATTAGGTAGACAAAACTCAAGACGTGTAATGATCACCCCCCATGTAAAAAACTGAAGTTAAAAACTGAAGCAAAATCTAAAATGAATTTGCACATACCAGAATTTATCCCAGCAATCCAGCATGGGCACTAAGGCCATATGAATTATGATGTGATTAATTTAAGACTGTAAGCATTAATATTTATTGCACAGAGAAGTAAAAATAATAATAGCTTATGGCACAATAATGAAAAAGTAATTTTGGCATAGTTGCAACAGTATCCAACCTGAGCAAGATCGCCAGTTGCATAATCACGGAACAATACATAACCATCTGGCTGTATAGGAAAAAAAAATTAGGATACACATTGAACAAATTCAAATTTCGCATGAAGCTCAATAGTAAAAAGAAATTCATTATGACATAAAATCATCACTCACCTTCAGAATTTTTCTGATGTTCTGTACCACTATAGGCATTTTCTCGGGGGATACTGCAGATAAAACAAATACCTACTTAACATGTCAGCCAGTGTGATAAGTAAAATAGATACTTGGTTATCATAGGACTAAAATAATCAACAATCTATGGAAAAAATTAGATTTGAACAGTGCAACTTCAAAATAATATAATATGAATAACTTTTCAAATATAGCACCAACTAAATCAAAGCATAACTCATTGGTAATACCATGGTCACAATGTCAACCGAGGAAGGAGAAATCTGTCGGCTTAGGTCATCAACAGTCAGATCACAGACAAACGCATTGACCCTGTCCTCCATGAAATCCTTGTGCATCTGAACAGTATTACAGAGGAAGTTAAAATCATGTCTATTAATTAAGATACTATCCTATTCAGTATTATGTACCAAACATATTCTAAATGCTGAAACCTTTTTTAAAACATTATCCTCATTCCATCTTGTAAATTATGTGCTTCATGTGCTATATTGGAGTAGGATTTAGGAAACACTCGAAGTAAAAGATTTATTTATATAACTATTCAATAGATTATCATCATTTCAAAAACACGCAAAAGCAAACAAGAAATCTAACCTTAACCAAGTTCACTGCACGCGGTGAAAAATCACAGGCATGTATTAACATATCTGGGTATGCTGCAAGCAGAGGAAAGATAGTATTTCCAGCTCCGCATCCAACCTGGTAAATAAGAATGCTCATGATACCCCCTTTTAGAGAGCAACCAATAAAGAAAGCAGTTTAAATGCCTTGGAACTATGGTAATTTTTAATTTTAAATGTCAGCTTAACACGTGCAGGAAAAATTAATTACTTGCACCAGAACAGAGGCAAACAAAATTAATCAACCAAATTACAAAAACAGAGAAAATAGGATTACCTCTAGAATGACTTTTCTTCCTGCTCCCTATGAGGATTGAGTTGTGTAATTAGGAAATTTAACCAACTAATTTACCAAAAACTGTAAGCAAAAGAAAATTTTCTTTCTGTACTCACAGAGAAGTAGTTCCCCCATTCTTTATCCAAGTAATGTCGGTCTTTAAAGAACTGAGAAAAAGGGACAATACTGCACCAATTACTGCCACTGTATAAATTATTAATAGCAATAAAAAGAAAGAAAAAATAAGAATCAGCGGTCGCCAGGAATTCTTATAAATATATGGTCCACGAACATGCAAATCCCCGTGTAGCAGTGACAGTGTATACATCAACTAATAACGTACAACAGTTCAAGACTCAAATTCTTCAATACATCGAAAAGAATATTACATTTGCAATGGGACATTTTCCCCGTGTTCCTCCACAACTTCAAAATTAATATCGAAGGAAGGATCACATTTCCACCGCAATTTTTTTCTAAAATTATTAAATTTTATTGTCTCATTAGAGTTTTGGGGAACTAAAAGAAACTGACCTTATCCTGATGGCGTTTGTAGAATAAATCCCAATATTTCTTGGCATCTCTTTCATATTTCTCTGCAAACAGAATGCTCATTTAGTATTAACAAAGAAGACAATGCAGCGGATTAAGAAAAATTAAAGAAAAAGCAAGGAGAAATTGACAGAGACCTCTCCAGAAGGAGGATATTTCACCAGTTGAGGCGGGGTATAGTTGTATCTTTGGTTGTGGCTGCTGATTTTCACTTACAGTTACTCCCACATTAGATTCGGATGCCATTGATCTCTGTCGTCTCTGTCACCAAAGTTGGATAAATATATGAAAACATCGAGGCTCAAGTTCAAGCATAGAACTTTCATTGAAAAGAGAATTGAAAAAACTATAACACGGATTCATAAAATACGTAACACACACTTCAGGGAACTGTTATAAAAGGGAAAGCAGCATTATTAGGTTTACACTGGAAAAGCTCAAAATATATCAACACTTAAATTGAACTTAATCCAAGAATTGGGTAACATGCTAATTGAGCAAGTTCTAGTGTTCGACCAAATCCCAATCTATAATCTCATAACGAAAAAATCCATTTTTCTTCCTGTAAAGAAAAAAAAAATGGAACGTGACAGTTATGTAAAAGTAAACGGATGCATAAATCAAACAGCAGGAAAATAAAAGAATACAAAACCAAAATCCAATAATAAATTAAAAGCTCATGTTTTGTATACATTATCCAGCCAAACATGCCATAAACGTAAAAATCATAAGGATATAAGCAAACTGAAGCCAAACCTTTGAATGTTTCTTGACAAAGATACGAGATATCAACGAATCGCTTTGTCAAGTGCCCAAATCAAGCTCGTATTTTCCACTATTTCTCCAGTTTTCATGTCACTGTTCTGTTGCTACAAAGAGGCATTAAACTGATGAAACTTGTGTTAGGGTTCTTCGGCCAAACTTGTCTATAACTTTTTAAGTTTTTATACGACAAATTGCATCAGAGGTCCCAAACCTTCCATTTTATTGCATAAAACACCTTAACCTTCCATTTTTGTGTCCATAGTCCCAAACCTTTAACTTCCATTACAGTCGGATTCTATTTGACGTATTCCATCCACTCATCCGTTAGTCAACCCTTAAATTAAGCCCTTGTTTGTTCTACATTTTTTTCTCATTTGTATAAATATTATAACCGTTGTATGGTAAAGTAATCGACATTTTTTACCTCCTTTGTGTGATGATGGGGTCCAACTGTTTGAAAAAAAGGGTCAAAAAATTTCTGAGAATGAGAAAAAAATGTAGAACAAATAGGGGCTAAATGTTTGATTCAAATTGACAAATCAAATAAGAGGTAAAATAGTCAAATTACATTTTCTTCCCTGAAAACTTTAAAATAAAAAACAGAACCCCACCCCACCCAAAATAAAAAATCACAACCCAATTAAGAAGAAAGTGAAGAATGTGGAAATTTGATATTTCTCTTCACCTGTTTGTCAAAATCTCAACTAAGTCCAGTTATTATGGGCGATCTTTAAGGTTTCTAAAATCCAAGAATTAATCAACATTCCAAATAGTCACAGCTATTTCTTCACCAAACCAATCAATCTCTGCCATTTACTGGCACCACGAACAAAAATGGTGTCATTTCTTTTCTTTTCTTTTCTGTTTGGAGAAGTAGAAGTTCATTTTCTTTTCTTTTCTTTTCTGTTCTGTTTTATTTAAAAGTTTTTAGGGGAGAAAAATCAATTTGACCATTTTACCCCTTATTTAATTAGTCAATTTGAACCAAACATTTATTTAAAGATTGACTAACGGATAAGTGAATGGAATATGTCTAGTGATGGTAAAAAAATAAGCCCCGCCACGACGGGGTGGGAGGGGGCCGTGAAGAATGAAAAAAAAAATTAATTAACTACAAATTACAAAAACACAAAAAGCGCAACTGGCAAGCAACCTTAAAGTCTAAACCTCATATCTTCATACCATCTCCATCTCTCTCTCACGACTCGCCGTATCAGACCGTCATTGCCGCCTCTCTTATTTTTCCCAAAACAGCTAATCTCTCAATCCAGCAGCTCAGCTCATTTTTCCACCCTCCACGAGCAATCCCATTAGCAGCTCAGCTCATTTTTTCGGCTCTCGATGCAATTCTGATTCAAAGAAGCACTTCGAACACTTAGAAATTCAAACACAATATTTTGCTCTCTCGATTCGATATGTTAGCTAATTTATTATTCTTTTTTTGTTAATATTTTTATGGTTAGATTTGATTTATGATGTATTGCGATGATTAGATCCTGAAGACTGGAGTTTTGATTTTTACAATGATTTGTTTGTTGATAATATATTGAATAAATGTTTAGTTTTGGTTATTCTTAATTCTAATAACTCCTTTGAGTTTGATCTGTTGTTTGCAGCACAATGTTTGATAAGATCTGTTCTAAGTTGAAATTACAAGCAATATTAATGTCATTTGTTATTTGCACAGATGTCTTGCCAAGTAGTGCAACTAGTGGTGGAAGTATTGGATTAGGACCAATACGCGAGGAAGATAGCACGACCAATATACTGGTGAGCGATGTCCAGCAAGAAGATCCAAATGAACCGTTACCAAATGAAAATGAGAGGTCAATAAACCTAAGTGACGAGGAGCGTGATATTGGAGAACCATCTTTCAGAAAGAGGAAATTGACTTCAGATGTTTGGGAGCACTACAAAAGATAAGAAAAGGTGAGAAATGGAAGGCTATATGCAATCATAGCAAGAAACAGTTAGGTGGTGACACCAAAAATGGTACAAAACATTTGCAT